ATTATAAATATTTGATCTTAATAATAATGTGTAATTATTTTTATGGTATGATTAACTATTTAGATAGTCCGAAATTGACCAAACGATCATATGATACATATAATATTATCAAATAACTATTATTGAAATATTTTTTATTTAATTTTATTTAGAGTTTAAAAAAGATTCATAATTATTACTCATAAACTTCTAAAAGGTATAATAATAAAGTAATATTTGAATCTCAAATTGGGTCGAATAATATAGTTAATTAAAATATAAGTATTATGTTTGATTAAGTGAAATGCACCTCAAATAATATAATCAATTATAAAATTATTATTATTATATCATTGCTTAATTAACCCAGTGAAATACGCCGAGATTAGTTAGAATGAACATTTAAAATATTATAATATTGGTAATTTTTACTAGCTAGACTCACCAGCGACTCTGGAGCCTAAATTCATTGACCCAGAAGAAGGCTTTTTGGACCACTTAAATGTTGGCCATTGCTTCTGCACTCTTATATTTTCTTCAATGTACCTCCATAATCTTTAAAATACCAATTATATCCTTTATTTTTCGTTTTACATTTTAAATTCTGAATGTATAACCATATTACATAGTCTGAAACCAAAAAATATATTACTTTATGTTTTAGATTATATAATTTGAAATAATTATAAATTCAGAATGCAAATAATATTATATATAATTTTATAAACTAAAAATTATTAGTATCTAAAATATTTTTTATTATTACAAATTTATAATTGATTTTTGAACCAGAGTCTAAATTAGCTTTTAAAATTAGTTTTAGTTAAATTGGTTTTTAATATTATTAATTTAAAATCTATAATTTTAAATAGTTAAAAGTATTTTAATTAATATTAAAAACTAATTATAAATTTTCATTAAATAGAAATTATTTTAGATACAGATATCTTTTAGTTAATAATATAAAATTAATATAATCATCAATTACTTTTTGTCTATAAATTTATTATTAATTAATTATTTTCTTGTAATGTTATATTTGAAATAAAAAGTTATCTTCGTTCACGTGATATATCTTAGAAATGTAATTTTTGTTATGTTTCATCTCTATTGAATAAAGAATATAACTATACTCGTATTTATATTTACAACTTACTGTTTTAATTATTACTTAAATAATTATTTTTACAAAAAAAAAAGAAATAAACATGATATTATTAAGGATTGAATATCAAAAGAACACTCATTTAAGGATTTACATAGTTCAACACTTAAAATTATAAAAATAAGATACTTTGGTGTGAAAAAATAAGTAATATATAAAATTATTAAAGGTGTATAAATAATTAAATTTGTACCTCATAAACCATTTATTTAATGAAATTGATGTTTTTATTTTATGAAATACAATATATCATTTGAGAAAAAGCACAAAAGAAAAAAGGGTAATGAAAGTTGATATAAGAGAAAATATACTTTAATAAACTTTGTTAATATTGAATATAATAACGGAAAAATAATACAAAAATGTGTAAAAAATGATTTTTCCAAAATAAAATGAAACAAGAACATGAGAGAATAGTGAAAACAAGCTTTTAAGATATCTATTAAGACAAATTGAATCAGTGGAAAGATTTTTAATAAAAATTGAGCCAAATGAAATAATATAATGGAAAAATTAATCTGTGATCCTTTATTTTTGTTTTGACCACAAAAGCACAAATTGTGAAAACAACATGTTAATATATTAATTAAAGTTAAAGGTAATGTTTCCCCTAGAAAAGCTTGGACCAAATTCTTGCTAGTTATAATTATACAAAGCTTTCGGCAACTCATCCCTTCAATTATGTAATATTATATATATATATATTAAGGTACAAAAGAAGACATAATAAGGAGTCATGTCAACTAAGGACAATACAATACAAGAGAGAAGACTTGAAAGCTGTGAGATGCAAACCAAGTCACCTCAAGCATTATTCATAAGTCACCATTTGTTACAGTTGCTGGTTGCTATGGTGATGAAAGTATTGCAGTGACCAAAGTGCAAAAAACTACCTTAAATTTCAGTGAGACAGAGGTAGAAGACAAATAGGTACATAGGTTAAAGAAGAAAGAAAGTGTTTTGTTTTCTAATTCTAACCAACTTTCTACCTTACATGAAGCCAAAATTGACCGACACAAGAAACTCTACTTCGTGTCAGTGCTATTCTATTAGGGAACCTATTCCTAATCTTACTCTGTTTTCAACACACACCACTACATTCTCAGCACACCCCACAGTTGAGTTGAGTGAAGTAACATTACCATTTTGTCTCGTAAAATTCTCATTTTCATTTGGTGTGCAGATCAGAGAGAATCTCGTAAAAATCTCATTTTTAAAACCATGATTTAACGGTTCTCATTCAAATGATTCCACAATTTTTTTCTCCCCAAAATATAACAATGTCGATGAATTTCTTTATTTTACCTATCTTTCTATCACATTTTAAATACCTTTTTATCCTTTCACTCTTAGAGTTCTATGACTCTCATCTTTACCCTCACAAGTCAAGGTGAAAATCCGCACATTGACATGCGTGTGCAAATTTGTCATCACATCAGTTATTCTTGTTCTTTGTTTAATATTTTCTTAGCTTTCTGTTCCGTATGCATGCTTCTATTGACTTTTTACATTAAATAAAACTGCTAAGAAATACTTGAAAGATATATGAAAAAGGTTTTTTACGGGTAAGGCAATTATGCTGACCACACATTTATAAATTATTATATAATATGAGAATACCAGCTTGCACATCTATTTCTGCATAGTTTTAAGACAGAAAACCGTAAAATAAGAGAATTGCATGATGAGAAGAGAACAAGGTGAAGAATAATAACTTGAGAAATTGATTACGTGTAAAGACTTTACTTGATAAGAAAATGGCCACTCTTCACGAGATAAACAGTGTTATTAATTATCCTCATAATTTGTCTTTGAATAAGATGGTTTTTCCCACTTAGAATAGCAATTGGTCCTACAACACCTTTTCTTCTCAAAAGAGAGATGCCTTTAGTACTTTCCCTACTCCAACAATGTTTATATCAATAACCCATAATGCCACAATGTACCTTAAAGATTCTACTACACAATGTCACAACACTTAAACTCAGCAAACACGACCTAAAATAACAAAAAACAATACATTTTTTAACAACACATGCGATTTTCAATCATTCGTACTCGATGCAACTCGAAGGTTATTGTGTAAGAAATTCTTTTTACTTTTATGTCAATTTCTTTCCCTTATGACGTGATTATCATTGAATATTTCAGTAAGATCGATCCAACCCAATGTAATGTGTAATGTGCATGTTGAAAAACTTATTTGGATTTTTCAATATTATCGTATACGCTTTTTTTTAACAAATTATTATTTTTTATTACATAATCATACCTTTTTTTTTAAATAATCTATATACTATTATAATTATACATTTTTTAATTAGATAATTTTATCCTTTACTAAATAATTTTTTTCCAACTTAATAGAATACATAATTAACAACCTATCTGTTTAAAGATAATTGCATAATTATTTTGAATTAAATGTAAGTACCACATGTTTTTTTATAATTTTTAATCATTCTTTTTAAAATTATATGTTTTCCTAAAATTTTATTATTTTAGTGATTCTCAGCTAGTGAAAAGTAAATTTAACACGTGTGTGTGTTTATATGTGTGTATATATATATATATATATATATATATATAATAGAAGTATCCAGTGAAAACAAATATATCAATATCTTGCAAATTAGAAACTAGATGCCAATTTCATCTTAATCACATGTGAGATATCAATAACACAAACTTATCGAATATTTGAGGAATAAATATTAAAGTATTGTTTATAGAGCATAGTTCTTGGGAGCATTTTTCTTTACAAAAGAAAAAGGAATATGATGCTGCACTTTTCAAAGAATTAAATATGGACCAACACTTTCTTTTTTTCACACTCCTATTTAACAATTCTAATAGTTCTCTTTCATAATTTTTTTTATATTTATTTATATTAGTTAGATATAATATTTTATTATTGAAAGGAGTTGTAAAATGGAAGAAAAAAAAATTATGGATCTCAAAGTATAATTTTCCCTGAATATATATAAAATTACTACATTAATAGACTACAAATATAAAAAGAATGTAATCTATATATAGGGTGACAATTTTTGAAGTTATTTTTAAAGAATATACTATGGTTAAGTTAAAATAATAGTTTATACGACTATGAATATTTTTTTATATTTTTGCTTCTGAAAATCTCTATTGTTTATCGTTGAACACAAAATTTTTCTTCTTCTATCATGAATAACAAACTTTTTCTTTTTTAATTCTTTTCATTCTCATTTTCTTTCTCCACGGTTTGTTTTTCTCTTTTCGTCTCACTTAAACCTTAAATATTTGTTTATGTTTGATTATTTATGTTACATTAACTACTCATATCGTTGCTACCTATATACATAATTTCAATGTTATCTATGGTATTATTCACATTCCTTAAAGCATATTCTTAAGTTATGCATTCTTTTTTTCACCTATTTTAATGTATTTAAAATTTTTGTATATTATTTTGGTATAGTTTTCTACTATTGATTTATTGTATGCAAAAATTTAGTTTATTTGATGTTGAGACTAAGTTTATTTGCAAAAAATTAGACATAACATGGGCATGTATGCATCTTCACCCATATTTGAGACTCAAAACTAAGAAAATGAAATGTTATAAGCAAATTAAATATTAGTACTAAAAGAGGGAGTTCTTTTGTGGCGCACAAATATTTTTATATAGTGTTGTAATCTCAGCTTGTATAATAAAATAATTATATTAAATATGTTATTGTTGTAATGAGAAATATATTAGAAATATAATAAATATATTTTATTATATATTTTAATTAAATAGGATAGAAGAATATTTAAAATCTTACTCTTACACTTTTAGAAGAATAACATAGTAGATGGGAACGGATGTTCATGCATCTGAAACAAAAAATATTTGACATATAAACAACAATATCTTACAATTGTATATGTAGTATCCAACTATACAAAAGCATATGATAGCAGTAAATTCTGAGTAACTCCGTTACTTTGCGTTCTACACCGTTATTCATTCCCCAATATAGACAGAAATTTAAAGAGTTAAAAAGAATAGGTAGCTAGGTCTACCACCTCCCACACATGCGTCAGAATTCCGGTAAAGAAACGTTTTTCTGAAACTCACACGACGGTGACCGTAACGGCGAGGGGGGCAAAGACGGTGGAGATTTCAGACTCTGAAAGTATCCCCTTACGTCAAGTCCATCGGCGAAAGGCTTCGTAACCTCTTCTCTTGAAGGAATAAACGGCGGCCGCACAACCTCCGTTAGTAGGTCCCATTTAACCCCTCTGAAGAACTCGTGCTCCTTGATCTCGGTGGCGCCGCGAACATAACCCAAACGCTTGGAAGGGTCCTTTTCTAGCAACCGAGATATTAGGTCCGTCAACGCTGTTTTCTTCCCGACAAACTCGGGCGTCTTCAACAACACGTTGCGAAACGTTTCCTTGCGATTCCTCCCCTTGAACGGCGTGGTTCCGTACACCATCTCGTTGGCGAGGACGCCGAGGGCCCACCAGTCAACGGCGAAGCCGTGCCCCTCGCCTCGGAGGACCTCCGGCGCGATGTACTCCTCGGTGCCCACGAACGAGTTCGAGCGCTCGAAGCTTGGCGCGGCGCGGCGAGCTGCGGGGGTGACTCGGGCGGACTTGGGGGTCTTCGTGAGTGGGGCCCAGCGGAAGTTGCGGCGGGGCTTGCGCGGGGCGGTGTCAGGAATGTGGGAGTTGGAGGGAGAGGAGGTGTTGGTTTTGGTGGGAGAGAGAGTTCGGGAGAGGTCGAAGTCGGTGAGAGTGACGTGGCCGGATTGTTGAATGAGGACGTTTTCGGGTTTGAGGTCGCGGTACACGATGTGCATGGAGTGAAGGTGGTGGAGAGCGCAGAGGATCTCGGCGAGGTAGAAGCGGACGACGGCGGGGGAGAATATGTGATCCGTTTGGCGATAGCGGAGGTGGTTGAGGTCGCCGCCAGGGCAGTAGGGGACGGCCCAGCCCATTAAGTTGTTGGACTCAAAGGAACCCAGTAGGGTGGGGAGGAAGGGGTGGGATAAGCGAGAGAGAACAGTGATTTCCCAGTGGGCGCGGCGAGCACCGTCGTGGAGGGATGATGATTTGTCGACCACTTTGAGCGCCACGTGGCCGGAGTTGTGTTGCACGAGAAACACAGTGCCCATGGCCCCTTTGCCTAAAACTTTCAGTACCTTAAGGTTGTCGAGGTCAAGTTCCTCTGCCATTTCGTTACAAAAGAGAGAGAGAGAGCTACCTGGTCTGTGTTTGTTTGATCCACCCTTGCTGCTGCTATTAACGTTTTATAATGATGTTGTTGTACTGTTGTATGCGGATTTACTTTTGTTTTTTCTGTGCACTACACTGTTCTGTAATGTTACTCCCATGACAAGATCTTTTTATCATTATTTCTTCATTTAGTGATTATAGCCATTGTAATGGTAAGAAGGTGATAGAGGAATTCACAGATGTAAATAAATATGTATGAATCTAAATGGTCTTTATGGTGTCGGAAAACTGCTTAAACCTAGCTAGCGAGATTTATTAGATATTGATAAAATGTGATAATAAATAATGCGCTTGATTTGCGTAGCATAAACTGATAAAGCATATGGTCACACGTGTGACGAGACATAAGCAAACAAAAGTAATTTTGAAAGAGTGTCGAGAAAAAGACAAAATGAATTAGTCGTACGGTAATCACATGGGAGCTCCTATATTGTAATGAGAACGTGAAGGTGCACCCTAAGCTATTGCTTCATGTTGGAACCTTGTCACCTTCTCATTTACCAATCCATTCTTTTATTGGATTTCTTTCTTTAATTAATGGAGCATGACATTTCACCACCCTTCCTCATGCTCCTCTCAATTATTAATCACCAATATCTCAATAAATCATACACTATATCTTTCAAATATACGATTTGCCCTCTGTATTGCAGTTATCATACTCACTTATCATACTCACTTTCCATTCATCAAATTTAGCTATTTGCTACACCAAGTTTTCCAGTTAGATCCTTGTTTTGTATTGTACTCATAGGCTTCAATGGAGACCAATATATACATGATAATTCAATGTTCTTTGTCCTTTTGAAATCCATAGATCTTTATCAGAAAACTGTTGAAGGAGTAATATTTTAATCATCAATCCCGTTGTCTATGTTGGCATATAAAATCAGAGAGGACAAAACAATTAATGAAGTTTCACATGTTGAATACTAATGTTCCTTTGTTTTGTTAGATTTAATGTAGGACGAGACAGGACACGAATCGTATATGTACGTAGTAGTGTACCTTAAAAATTACCAAATAATGTGGAGTAGGCTTGGCTTTGGCCCTGTTGACGATGAATTAGGTGGATGATGGTGAATTAATTAGTGATGGCTTCTTTGTCAAAAGTGTAGGCTTTGTGGCAGCATAAAAGATGTTGAGATGTAAAAGATGGCATATAAATTAGAACCAAGTCTATGGTTGAAACAGATGAAGGGTAGACAAGTGGAGGACAACATCATTATGCTTGCTTTAACATTGAATTGACATTATCCTTTTGATTTTGCAAATCTTCTACTTCAAACTTGTGAACTTGAGATGAAAGATATTTACCCAGAGGAAACCACACGTATGAAACAAGTAATCAAGGCATCAAGATTCTTTTTTTTTTTTGTAGTTCATTGATGATGAATTACACAACAACGTGGAATATCGTGATTTGGGTAGAAGTTAGGTGATCTTGGATCATATCCTTCGTAACATCAACCACCAACTACTAAAATAATGTCTACAAAGGAAAATAGGAATGTTTTAAACTTCTTGAACTAACTCTTGAATCCGTCTCATAAAATTCAAACTTTATTATATTTTCGTATAATTTCTCTTGAATGAGTCATAACAACTATGTTAGTGGGAAGAATGGATTCACATTTTTGCATATGTTACATCAACATACATATATATTCTTTAGTTATTCTCTTGTAAAGATATGAGATTATGATTCTAAAGAGATTTATAACCACTCATCATATATTTTAGTAGATGCTTTCTGGAAAATAAATAGGATAAAACAGATCTAGGCTAAATCAGTCCATTATTATACAAATCAACACTTTGTGATCTTAACCTAATCATTTGTGAATAAATTAAGACTTTTTCTTTCTTCAACTCCCATTATTTCTAAAGGTGACTTTCAGATTACCTTATTTGAAAATTTTTCTGAACAATTCTTTTTAATTTTCTTGAACATGATTTCCAAAAACAAGTTTTCTGTAATAGAATGTATGAAAAAAGCTCTGACATGTATGAAATACAATCTATAACAAGTTTTCAAAAATAATTTTTGAAACACATGAAATGTGTTCTGGAAAGAACTTTTCGGAATGAGTTTTTTTTTTTTTCACAAGCCATTATCTCTTTTCTTGTTCTACAGCGTTAGCAGTGATGGATTTTCAAAAAATTGTTTTTGGATTCAAAAATTTTATTTATAAGATTTACTATATTTTTTATATTTTGATCTGCTAGGTTCTCATTTTTAAGAAATATATGGATGTAAATCCTCGTGCATAAGTATATATAAATGTGCATAAGTATATATAAATCTGAGGAATCAAATATACTATAACTAAAAAAATACTTTTATTTATATACTAATTTTTATACATATAAAAAAATTGCGGAAACCAAAGCTCTCCATAATGGTCATGAAACTCCACCACTGACAAGAAGATGATGTAATAAGATGATATTTTAGCCTTTTTATTATTATATGACTACGATTAGTAATGATGGGGATGCATAAAGAAAAAGCCATAAGCAAGTCCAAACCCACATCTCCTAAATAAGTTGTATTTTTAAAATACTTGTTAAGTTATTATTCAATGTAAATATGAAGTAAAAAAGATGCTTTCTTCTTACACTTCTAAGTTTTCTTTCTTTTCAAATGTATAAATTATCCTTCTTTCTTTCACCTTACACCTCCTGCACCACAACTGTTGTTGTTCTTGTTCACACACACGTTCAACCTTGATTCATCCACTCAAAGTGCATATTCCTTTATAAAAATAAATATAAATTTTTAATCAAAATAAATATAAAATTTTAAACTTAACTTAACAAAAAAAAACGAATATACAAAAAAAATGAACAAGATGAAATGAACGAGATAAATAAAGACAAAATGAAATAAGACACTAGCACGGTTGAAAAAAAATCAAAGAAGAAAGTTCAAGAAAACAAGAAAGAGAAAATAAGTTCGAAATTGACTTAGAGATGTATCTCCTTCGGTAAATAAATAAATGGACCATAATAAATATGATTTAGTAAACAATAATGAGTGGTTATATAATTTTTTTTTCATATATATATTTATTTTAATGGATAAATTTGTTTTCACAATTAAACTTAGAGATATACGAAGAAAGGACATGCAAAAAATAGTTTAATTGCGGGAAGAGGTTTTCTTGGACAGAAAACATTACTTGGACTCAGGCCCAGCCCAATAAACAAATCCTCTAGGTCTCGTCGAAAGATGTAATTGAACTTTGACCAAAACACAAATCTGTGTGAGGTGATACCAATGACTACTACAATTCCCACAAAATCTCCGATTAGGGGAAATTCACAACCCTTTTAATCTTTCTATGGTAAGCTCCCAATTTTCTCATAGCTCACATCTATTATCATTTCGCGGCCCTTTCAATGTCTCAGTTTTTCATCCCTTTGATTGCTATAGCTATGTTTTTTCTTGATCTGCCTCTAGGCTACTGCATTGTTTGTAATAAGTTCGATATTTGCTATTATTCAACCAGATGTTTTGATTCTTAAGCTTTTAATTTGATTTCTTTGATGCTATTGACATCTGAATTTAACAAGTTTGGTAGATTGATTGATTGTTCATTTCCCCTGTCAGATTGCACTGCTAGAGTGAAATTCCCCATCAATTCGCAGCTAAACCCTAAAACAGAATTTTGGTGTGGTGTGTGTTGACTTAATTGAGTGAAGAGATAGCATAATGGTGAAAGCATACAGACAGGAACACGTCTACAAACACCCTTGGGAACGTGTAACTAGTGCATCTTGGCGCAAGTTTGCTGACCCAGAGAACAAACGCATATTATCCCATATTCTTGATGTTGACACATTGAACCATAGTCTTGACCCTTCATCGGGGAAGCTTTACACAACTCGTGCCATCACGATCCATTGTCCTGGACCCTGGTTTGTTCGTAGAATTGTTGGTCAGGATATTTGCCACTGTGTAGAATCCAGTGTTGTGGATGCACAGTCGCGTTCCATGCAACTAACCTCTCGGAATATTAGTCTCCAGAAGTTCATAGAAGTGGAAGAGAAGATCCGGTACGACCCTCACCCGGATAACCCGAATGGTTGGACGGTTTGCCAGCAGGAGACTCGCATCCGGATTAAGCCATTGTCGGCCCTGGCATCCATGGCTGAAAAGGTGGAGCAGCGATGTGCTGAGAGGTTTCTTCAGAATAGTGTTAAGGGCAGAGAGGTAATGGAGAGGATATGTAAATATCTTGAGGCAGAATCTAGCAGCCTTGCTTTGTGATTCTGTCTTCTCATCTCAGTTTTGGGTTTCTGTAATTTAACTTAATATATTTGTAAAATAACTGAGGAAACATTGCAACATGAAAGGCAGGGAAGATGGTGAAGCTTGTATCTCCTCCCTGGACTTTAAGAACTAAGAAGAGTGTTTAGATCTTCTTCAAATTTTGATTTGTCAAATAATTTTTCAAATTGCTGTAACACAACTTAAAGGACCATTTGAATATCTTTTTCTTCTGAATCTTGATCAATCCTTCGGAGTGAGATTGAGACCTAACTCTGTTTTTTGTTTGTCACCTTTCCTTATTTTCTAAGGCACTTGGTCACAAGCCTTTGTTTTGCATCTTTATCTTAGTTAATAATATTAGATTATTCTAAATTTTGTACATTTTTAAATTTATATTTTAACGTAAATGAGACAGTTTTATATAGATCTCTAGTTTGGCTTCAATGGTAATGTGTAACATGTGAAGATAGTGGGAGAAAGAAGAAGGAGGTAATATAGACACCGGGCAACATCTCTTGAAAAATGGGAATTAAGGAGCATTTCAGGTTAAAGGAACGGGAGGGGGTTAATGGGTTATAGATGTACTGCATCTCTCTGAATTTCTTCATCTTTCTCGAATATCTCTCAATTTCTCTATTTCCTAGACCCTAATACTGTTCATTGTTGGTTGATTTAGTGTTAGTAAAGCGGATTTAGTGCGTTCGTTTGGCGATTGAAAGAATTGCAAGCGCAAGTGACCAATCAAGGTGAAGAACTTCGATTATTGATGAGTTTGATTGAGTTACGTGATCAATCGCAGCG